GTTCAGGATTACTTCAAAGTTGAGTTTGTGTTGTTTTCTTGAATTTTCACCGACTCGATCGGCGTTCCACAGCAGTGCGCACAGAGCCCATAAAAATGTATGTATAATAATACGCGTCTTAGCAACGTGGAATGTCTTGTGACGTAGCTCCGCCCCCGAGGATATCTGTTCCTGTATGAATTTCAAAGATTATAAGATGATTAGTCTGTATCTAGTCTTCTGATTGGCTGAAAGGTCTAGAATACATGTACATGTGATTCCAGTAAATAAACTGCCTTAGATATCTAACTGAATCCAGATTACATGATTGTGAGCACTGTTTATAGTGATTGTGTGTGTATGATTAATTGATCAGAAAGTGTAACCAAATAAAAGTAAATTAATATTGCCAAAATGTTAATATTACAAATAGTACATGACAACTCCTGTGAGAGGCATGTCAGTTGAATATTGATTAGGATGCCAGTTAATTTAAAAACAATACAATTTACATGCAGAGATCAAAACACATTATTTTGCAAGTCCGAGAAAAATGAGCTGTTGTCAGTCTCTATTTTTATAGTGTTTAAAAATGAATGTGCGAATATCAAAATACATTTGCCAGGACATACAAAAGGGAGAATTTAAGATTTATTGGAAATTAAAATTTAGTGTTTTGTTTCAAGGCGAAGTAAAGAATTTCAACCCCTGTATTGCAAATTACAAAACTGAAATATTGAAAATTACTTTAGTAAATTAGTGTATGTAGTTAGAAATGAAAGTGACACAGTTGCACTGCGTCTTGTTTTGAATACATTTTTCATGAGGAAATCAAACCTGTGCTATGCAATATGATTGCTTGTGTAAAGTATTTGTCTTAAGAAGCCTGAACAAATATTCCACAATAATTATCAAAAACATATGTTAGGTGTCAAATACATGTACATAATTAAAATTAATAAATAATTATTTGTCAAGTTATCCATAAAGTGAATCATTCCATTATGTGTTGTACTGAACACCCAACCATCAATCTCTGCTCGACAAAAGATTTCAATTAAAACCATCTGGTTGTAAAAATTTGCTTAAATTTGCGTAATTATTCATACCAGTTAGTTTATACATGCACCTTATTGCCGCATATGCTGAAAATTATGACAAATATTGTAAAAAATTGTTATAAATACTGAAGTGATGATGTACATGTAATATTGTTTTGCAAGGTAATGAAAACAAATCTTCCAGATATTATCTTCGCTTTTTATGTAATTATCTTTTTTGTTAGCTTGTATTTCAATATCATGGAAATTAAACTTTTAAATTTTTAGTAAAAATATGCATTTATTTTCATTTAACTGGAAAACTAATCAATGGTGAATCATTTCAATCATCAAAAGTAAAATCCATGTGATTTCTCTAGTTTGCATATATTTGTCAAGCGGAAACAAATATATTGAAAAAAATTCTTCTACATATTTTTTTACATATAACTTCCCAAATAAAGTTTTTACCTCACTTAAATTTATCATTTCATTATATCACAGTCCCTCTATCACGGGACTGTGATTAGATATGTTATTTCAAATATGATATTATCAAATGTGATTGGATTTGTTCTGTCCAGAATATTTAATGCAAGGTAAAGATCGATTTTTAAATTACTGTAAAACCATTTATTTTCCATGGTGT